CCCGCCTCTGCCTCCCCCCAGCCCCTTTCCCCCCCGAGTCAGTCTCAACCCCAGCAGGATCCAGCCCAGCAGCATCACCCCCACCTCCCGCCGCCTCGCACCCAGCCCAGCTCCAGTCAGCGCTGCCCCCGCCAAGCCCTCCCCACATTAAAGCCAGTGACAGCCACCCCGGGGTGGGACCTCCAGAGCCAGGGCGGGACCCCTGCACCCGGGGCGACAGCCGGAGGCGGCAGAGCCCCACGGGCAGGCGCTGCCCGTCCCCGTGCACGGGGCCAGGCGGGTTCATGCACCGTTGCGGCAATTACCTCCGCATGGGCAGCACCCAGCAGCTCCCTGGGACGCGTGTGGCTGCTCGCCAGGACCGTCAACGCCCAATTATTTCTGTGTCTCAATGAGAGCTGAACCCCTTTTTTTATTGTTAAGCTCATAAAATATTGAAATGGATGGAAATTAATGTCAGGCATAAATATGGATGGGCTGCCTGCCTCTCCGGTCTGCATCCTCCTGCCGAGGAGCATGGGGAGTAGCAGGGGTGATCCCTGCACATGGCTGGGAGCATCATCTCGGTCCTCCTGCGTGGTGACCCCCGCCAAAGTGGGGTGCAGCCCTCGGCCCCCCAGTAGCAGCTGCTGGGGGAGGTAAACACCAGCTGGTAACACCCCAGGGCTCTCAGTAAAGGAGCGCGGGGTGCGATGTGGGGTGCGATGGGAGCGCGACACAGGGTGCAGGCAGCAGACCACAGGCAATGCTCAGCACATCCCAAGGTTGCTAAAAAAGCCCAGCCTGGGACGCCTTTACCCAACATTAGAGTCAGTGCCAGGGCTCCGGTGACTCTGTCCTCCAGCAACTGTGAGTAAAGCTGCCATCACCGCTCCGTGCCTCAGTTTCCTCCTCTCTAAAACACCATGTTCTGCACGGCTCCATGCAAATAGCTGGCTGCTGGCAGGTGGAAGATGCTCCAGAGGGCAAAGCAGCGTCTGGGTGTTATGGCCCAGCCAAAACACCCACCCCAAGGCTCAGCTCTGCCACCGAACCCCTCGGTGGGACCCGTGAGTGTGCGGGAAGCTGGAGCCAAGCCCAACGGGGCAGCCAGAGCCCCTGAGCTGGGAGCAGAGCCCAGCGTCATACCCTGCTGCCTTGCTTTGTCATTAGGCCCTCTCCTAAAGATGGGAAATTAATTAGGAGCTTGTAATTAATGCTTCCATCCGCAGTCGGGAGGAGCCGGCCCCGGTGCCGGCTGTAGCAGTGAGGCCATGTCTGCACCAGGTGCTGCTTGTCCGGCTGGGTCAGCCTGGGGCGGCTGAGCGGGGACATCCGCGATGGCGGGGACCGACCTGCTCAGCCACAGCGACCTGTTGCTGCCAACAGGCAGGGGATTACAAAGGAGCTGCTGGCTTTTTCCCCGTGTCAGGGCTGCCCACAATTCAGGAGCTGAATTTGCCATGTGGGATGAAGACGATGGGGTCCCCTGTCCCCAGTCCCCTGGGGCTCAGGTGATGGTGCAGGCGTGGGGCTCTGTGGTCCCATTCCCCCCCTCTGCCAGCACAGCGTAGGAGCCAGCACATGGCAGGACGGACAGGATGCCACGTTTATGCCACTGTGTAATAAATCATAAGCTCACACACCCCGCTAAAGAGCCCATAAATCTCCTCGCACAATAAAAACAGAGCTGGGGCAGCCGTCGGCAGCTGAGGTGGGTACAACCGCAGCACGCTCCAGCCACGCCATAAACACCCACACTCAAAGCACCAGCCCCAATCTGGGGCATCTCCCGACCTGCCAGGGCTGGGCCACCCAAGGGGGGGGACAACAACTGGGGATGAGGTCCCGGAGCTCCCCCATGGGTGCTGGCTGGGTGCTGGGTTCTGTCATGTCCCAGATGTAACTCTATCAGCAAGTGGCCACCACTGCTTGCTCAGCAGGGCTGGGATTTCACCTAAAATACCTGGTTTTGTCTCTGCTGCACCCCTCACTGCCCAGGCCACGGTGTGGGAGTGACATCCAACCACTGAGAAAACCCTGTGGAGTCAGCACAGCCTTTCCATAAATTCATCAGCTCCATCTGAAACACCGAACACTTCGTTCCTCACCGTATTCTGATCCCAACACACAGCCATTGCATCCCTGTGTTCTCCCCAGGCCCCACTGCCACCTCCTGAACACAACAGACCAGGGCTGGGCACAACCTGACGCATGATTTCACACCAGAGGATGGGCAGGGGGTGTGATTTTGCCAGCCTTTACTATGCACTCGCATAAACCCTTTTACTCCAATGCAAGGGGAGAAAAGCCAGTGGTTCACCTAAGCAGCCTGTTACTGTAACTTAAAGCTGAGTGGTATCAGCTCAGCCACAGTCACGCTTTGAGAAAACCCCGCTGGAGTTTATCCCCTTTCTGTACATTTCTGATTCGTCTTTTCTTCCAAATCCTTCCTGGGCTTGGCGCTTCGCTGTGCCGTGAGCCCCGGCCAGGGACGGGGCAGCTGGGAAGCTTCATGGCCACTGTGTCTGCAGAAAGAAGCGCTTTGATGGCCGAGCACCCGGGCAGACTGGCGGCTTCGCCTTGGGAGTCTGACTCAAGCGGGGCTCTCATTTACACGGCTGTGAATCCAGATGTTTTTTTTTTTTTTTTTTTTTTTTTTTTTCCATCGGTGCAAGAATCTGACCCCAATTCTTGAAATTCATCTTCATTTGAGTTTCCAAGGATAAAGCTCCATGTTTCTGGCTTCTGAGCACCAACTGATGAATCCAGGATGTTTTTTCTGCCCATCTCCCAGTTACTAATGCAATCTGCCACAGCAATGTCTTAGTGCCCTGACTGTGTCCATGCTGCAAACCTTGTGCCAAAGCAGAGGAGGGAATGGAATGGAATGGAATGGAATGGAATGGAATGGAATGGAATGGAATAGAATAGAATAGAATAGAATTCAGTTGGAAGGGCCCTCTAGTCCAACAGCCTAGCCACTTCAGGGCTAACCAAAAGTTAAGATGTGGTATTAAGGAGATTGTCCAAATGC